TCCTTTTAAATACTAGTCTTCAGTCGAGGTTTTAACCTAACTGCAATCGGGTTGCAGTATACTTGATCCGTTCCTGGGCCAGTGAAAATTAGAAAGGTCTATCACTACTCCTTTTAAATACTAGTCTTCAGTCGAGGTTTTAACTTCAATGCTATTGGGTTTCGGCAAATCTGCTCCGTTCGTGTGCCAGAGAAAATAAAATGGACTGTCCCTCACTGTCTCATTTGAAAACTGGTGAACAAACACTTAGTCCCGGGACAATCAAGAAATATGCAAACGCAGTAAATGCATATGGCAGTTGCCAGAGGCGTCAAAGCCAACAGCCGCAACCAGAAATGCAGTTTGTCGTTAATGGAAGTAGTTGGGCATGCTAAGTTGGCTTTACATACTGTGGATGTATGCAAAAATGAGCACTTGGGATACTTTGCTCCCTAGACACCCACAAAGTATATGCACCAGTGAACACCGTAACAGCATTTGTGAACACCGTAACATCATTTTCGAACGGCGATGTGAAGGTCACAAGTCAGCAGAAGTGATGAATGCTGCCTGTTAACACTAAGATCTTTGAGTTTAGCCTGTTCACTGTTAACGTTAGCGATTGTCAGAGATTGTGTCTGCTCGCTAAACACACAGGGAGTAATGACTGTTTTCCAAATAACCTTTCTTTCAAAGGGGTGTAATGTTGGTTTATGAGCTTTTGCGTGTGGACTGTTTTGTTCTGAAATACTGAATTAGAAATTATTCTTGTTTGTGTTCTTCATCATCATAATCTTCTACTGGGGCACCACGTACAGGTTACACACAAGGTAACATATAGCAACGTGCGGCTGGGTGTTAATCGAACAATTAGTCTTGGCAAACTGGATCCAAATACAGAACAAGACCAAGCGCTAGATCTGCCACACCACAAACGACTAGAACGGACGGACTCTGTTAACCAGCAAACATGTTTCCCTGCACACGAAACAACTCTGAAACAGACCCGGAGCTGAACTGTCAGTCCCAGACTTGACCTATTGTCCTGGTTGTGGCCTGATGCGTGAGGGGACTCCAAGATCCGTCTATCTGCAGCATTAGTCGATTCCAGTATTCTGGAAATGTCATCGCGCTGCTCAGTGACAAAATACGACCCATTCCATTTCACAAATACAGTCACGCAATATGTTTTCTTCATTGCAGAAACATTTTTTTTTTTAACTTAGTGAATGACATATGTTTATGTCTGTGTTTTAAAGGCTATGAGTGCAGTTTTTTATTATTATTATTATTATTATTATTATTATTATTATTATTATTATTATTCGGCGCTTCTCCATAAGAGAATAGCTCTATTCTACACCCTCCCCCCTCCCCTTTTTCCTCCCCTTTTCCCCTCAACTGGACATTGGCAACCCACACGGTAAAAGCGAAGTATATTAACAGCAATTTACTATGCGTGTCAAAAAATACAAAAAGGATGGTTGGCGTGAGTATAAAACATCTAGCCAATCATGTATAACATCTAGCCAATTATGTATAACATCTAGCCAATTATGTATAACATCTAGCCAATCATGTATAACATCTAGCCAATCATGTATAACATCTAGCCAATATGTATAACATCTAGCCAATCATGTATAACATCTAGCCAATCATGTATAACATCTAGCCAATCATGTATAACATCTAGCCAATCATGTATAACATCTAGCCAATCATGTATAACATCTAGCCAATCATGTATAACATCTAGCCAATCATGTATAACATCTAGCCAATCATGTATAACTATAAGACAGGTTTGATGTGAGATAGTCTATGGTCTTTATTCCTATGGAAGATGAAAGGACGAAACATAAAACCAAGAGGAAGCAGCAGCAAGCGAAGCAAGCAGAAGCAGAAGAAGAAGAAGAAGAAGAAGAGAAGAAGAAGAAGAAGAAGAAGAGAAGAAGAAGAAGAAGAAAGAAGAAGAAGAAGAAGAAGAAGAAGAAGAGAAGAAGAAGAAGAAGAAGAAGACGAAAGAAGAAGAAGGAGAAGAGAAGAAGAAGAAGAAATCAGAAAGAAGAAGAAGAAGAAAGAAGAAGAAGAAGAAGAAGAAGAAGAAGAAGAAGAAGAAGAAGAAGATGCTGATGATGATGGTGAAGAAGAAGAAGAAGAAGAAGAAGAAGAAGAAGAAGAAAAAGAAGAAGAAGAAGAAGAAGAAGAAGAAGAAGAAGAACAAGAACAAGAAGAACAAGAAGAACAAGAACAAGAAAAAGAAGAAGAAGAATACGATGATTATGAAGATGTCGGGCAGGAAGATGATGACGATGGACAAAAAAAAAAAAGAAGATAATGATGAAGAAGAACACGAACGAGAAGGATGTCTGTTTCAATATTTTCAAAACAAAACAGTCCACACACAACAAAACACAAACCAACATAACACCCTTTTGAAATAAAAGATTAAGTGGGGGAAAAAGAAGAAATAAGAAGAAGAAGCAAAAGAAGAAGAAGAAAAAGAAGAAGAAGAAAAAGAAGAAAAAGATGGCGGTGATGATGATGATGATGATGATGATAACGATGCTTATGATGATGATGGACAAGAAGAAGAAGATGATGATGGACAAGAAGAAGAAGATAATGACGACCATGAAGACAAACAAGAAGAATATCTAGTTCAAAACAGTCCACACGCAACACAAAAACTCATAAACCAACATATAACACTTCTTTGAAATAAAGGTTACATGGAAAACAATCATTACACCCTGTGTATTTAGCGAGCAGACACAATCTCTGACAATCGCTAACGATAACGGTCGACAGGCTAAACTCAAAGACCTTAATGTTAACAGGCACCATTCATCACTTCTGCTGACTTGTGACCTTCACATCGCCACGCGAAAATGTTGTTACGGTGTTCTAAATGCTGTTACGGTGTTCACTGGTGCATATGTTTTAGGGGTGTCTGGGGAGGAAAGGCGTTCAAGTGCTTTTTTCCCCCGTAGTACGTGTCACCATTTGTGTAAGGCTGGTTATGCTGCACTTCTTCTTTATTCTCGGTTTTGTACATTTTCATTTGATATTATGTAACTGTTTTTATTCACAATCATTAAAAACAATGTCAAATGTGTGAGAGAGTAACACACGGAGACAGGCAGACATAGAGAGGAGACATGGAAATAGACAAGGACATCACATACACACAGAGAGAGAGAGAGAGAGAGAGAGAGAGAGAGAGAGAGAGAGAGAGAGAGAGATACTATAAGGGAGCAAACACGCAGGCACATAAGTGCCGATCAATACATTGTCTGTTACTTTATTAATATATACAGGCAGGCAGGCGGGGATTAAAGAGACTGATACAGTTAAAGATGCATTCAAGGATGTCCTATTAACTGAAGCTGTCTTTCATTGCACAAGGAAGATCGTGAATGCCAACAGAAATTAAACCTAGTACCATGATTAGTATGTTATCAGCATTACCCAAAAACTGTATGGAAAACCTAGTACCACGATTAGTATGTTATCAGCATTACCCAAAAACCTGTATGGATTTCCATGGACAAGAGCGGCTGAAAAAAAATTTTTTTTTTTTTTAAATCTTCTTTTGGGGGTTTTAAAAACTGTTATCATAGTGTTGGGAGACAAAGTTTTTGATTCTAGCAGATATTGTGGGGCATAGTATACTCTATTTCCATACTGTGAAATTACTAATACCCAAAACATTAACAGGTGAGAAGAAGATGCTGGCTTTGGATAGGACGCAGAGATCAAAAATCCAACAAAAAATATTCAATAATAATAATAATTATTATTATATAACAAGAAAAAGAAGGAGAAGAAGAAAAAGATGAGGAGGAAGACGGCGGCAGCGGCGGCGAAGAAGAAGAAGAAGAAGAAGAAGAAGAAGAAGAAGGAGTAAGTAGTAGTAGTAGCAGCAGCAGCAGCAGCAGCAGCAGCAGCAGCAGTAGTAGTAGTAGTAGTAGTAGTAGTAGTAGTAGTAGTAGTAGTAGTAGTAGTAGTAGTAGTAGCAGCAGTAGTAGTAGTAGTAGTAGTAGTAGTAGTAGTAGTAGTAGTAGTAGTATAGTGATGTCATGATGACGGTGGTTATTGTAAAGCAGTGTTATTGTCAAGACAATGGTGATGACGACTAAAAGATACAACCTTCAGTTGCGCTTACTACCCTCGAATTCTTACTACTTCTTTCTTCTTCACGTTCACCAGCTGTACACTCTGGCGGAAAGTTCTGGTTGTTCGTCCACTACTGAACTGCAGTCCTGCTCCAGAACCTGAGTGTTGCGTGTGCATAAGTTTTACAGATCTCATTCTCTTGAATACATACTGTTGGTTCCTTGCCTCTCCGGTAGATGCACTCCGACTTCAAAGGAAGCTCCCCAATTAGTCGACTCTTACGACATGCTTTTGGAGAGGCAGTGGGTCTATTCTTGTTTTCCCCTACAATGGGGCCCCGGAACCCACACGGAGGGTCTCCCCTCGAATTCTTACTACTTAAGTCAGCTTCTCCAGTACACCATAAATGCTTCAAATTAATATTACCTAGAACTGTATGCCTACAGTCTTACGTGTATTTTATTTTATGTCTCCACAGATAAAGAATGACCTGAACTTATTCATGTTACAAATCCAAAACCAAAGGCCGTAACTAAAGCCAGACACATGCCAAAAGGACAGATACTCTTCAGTAACTGGGAAGTTTACCAGTCAAACGGTTTAGTGAAAGTATAACACTAGGAACTCGCTTCAAGAAAAGCATACGAACTGTTCGGGAGAAGTATAACGAGACGAGCTTTTCCGTCAAAGTATAACAAGACAAACCCTCTTCGGTGAAAAAATAACGAGGTAAATTCTTTGGCGAAAGCATAACGCGATGAACTTTTCCGTGGAAGTATTCAAACGCTGGAGACAATATGTTGGAAGCATGGACAGCCATTCGGTGAAACTCTCAGCAAACACCAAGTAAATGCATTTACAGTTCAGGAGCAACTGACAACGTCAAAGAACACCTGTCCATGTACCTGCCTGCAGCGACTATATCCGCCACCATGGCGACTGAGCCTACAGACGGAGGAGCCCTCAAGCTCAGCCCAGAAGTGTCCTCCACAACAGCCACCTCAGTATACATCAAGTGGGCCTGGGAAGGGCTGGGCCCTGTTCATGTCCGGGGCTTTAGAGTCCACTACCACAGGCTGTCCAGTTCTTATGTCCAGCACAGCGTGCTGCTACCACCCAGCGCAAGTTCCTATGGTATCGGAAATCTGGTAGCTGACACTTACTATAAGGTAACAGTTTTACATTTTTTCCCATCGTTATCAGTATTATCATCATAATGTAGCAGGTCCTTTGCAGAATGTCGCTCTCATCACGGTCTGCCTGAAAAAAAACTCGGTCACTCGCCCGCTCTCCCTCCTCATGTACTTTCATACTAAAGGAGTCACTTTTATCATGTGCCCATCTTCGTGTCCGCCGACCCCTACCCCCTCATTCCTGGTACCCTGCCTTCCGAGACAGGATGCTGTTTATTAGCCAATCTTCCTTGATGTTCAGATCTTTCAAGAATCCTAAGAGCGGTGACAGAGTTTTTTGTTGTAGTACCGTTGGGCTTAAGGCCGTCATCACAACTACCCTTACTACTTGCCATCGTGCTCAGTCGTTTAAAAGAAAACATAAATTAAACCATTTTATTTTGATTCCCTAGTTTCCCGTGGTTTAAAAAAAATGAAACGACCCAAAGTGGGGGTACAGGTTACCCGGCCGGCGTTGATTTCAATTTTTGATAAAAAAATATAGGTCTAGCCCCTAGAAGCAGAAAGGGTACACTTTACTGCTACTGACATGTAATAAGATCTAACGGCCACTCAAAAACAATAAATACGACAGGGCTCAGTGAAAGGTAAAAAGCAGACCAAGACAGACCTGGATGCAGAACTTGATTGACTGGACAGGGTTTAGGCATGCAGCCGTGTAGTCCATGACTTCCAAAGGTGGACTGAGCTGATCAGTCAACTCCTCCTGATGCACACCGAAAAACAGAAGCCCCGAGGTTTTAGGCAATGGTTCGCCTGGAAGAAACGGGCACCAACCAAGACAGATTTATTTCTTGCCCCGCCAAGGCGACGGACCTAGCAATCTGGCAGTGGTGTATGTGACTGCTACTACTCAAGAAACATTGAATGATTATAGGACAGAATCAGGACAGTGGGCTACAACCTGGTAACAGTGCGACGACAAAACAAGAAGAAGAAGAAGACATTCAACAGCAAAGTGTGCTCCAACGACATTCAGGGTTACAGGACGATGATGTCGAGAAACAGACTAGTTGGGCCATTGCGACATCAGATTAGAAAATCAACTGCTGATCTTTCCGTGTGGGTTCTGGGTCCCACTGTGGGGAAAACAAGAACAGGCCCACTGCCTCCCCAACAAGCATGTCGTAAGAGTCGACTAATTAGGTGCATTCTTTGAAGACGTAGTACATCTACCTGAGAGGTAAGAAACCAACAATTAGCATACAAGTAAGTTAGATTTGTAGAACGGATGTGCTTGCAACGCTCAGATTCTGGAACAAGACTAATGTCCAGAGTGAACGAACAACCAGAATTTTCCAGTTTACAGAGGGTGAACATTCCGCTGGAGTTTACAGAGGGTGAACTTTCCGCTGGAGTTTACAGAGGGTGAATTTTCCGCGGGAGTTTACAGAGGGTGAACTTTCCGCCGGAAGTTTACAGAGGGTGAAGGCGAAGAAGAAAAAGAAGAATTTCTAATCAACCTGCTGACCGTCCAACAATCAGTTTCACCGACTGGGACTGCTTAACATCTATTAAAAACTCCCCTGCTCACTTAAGTTGACAAAGATATATTGCACAGATTTTGCTAGGACTATTCTCTGACCATTTTTTAAACTGCCAGTACTCACCATCAAGTATCTCAAAGAAGTGCCTCTACTATCTACGAAGTTCTTACAGTAGCGTTGAAAAGCATTACGTCTTTGAAAAAAAAAAAAGTTATGGTTACTGCGTATCTATCTATTGTTTCTTGAAATTATGGAATGTGTCAACGTTTCAGTGTTGTAGGCAGAAGTCTATAGAAGAAGTCGACAGTAGCAGATCCCTGTGTGGGTTCCTGGGTCCTACTATAGGGAAAACAAGAATAGACCCACTGCCTACGCAAAAGCATGTCGTAAGAGTCGACTAATCGGGAGCTTCCTTCAAAGTCGGAGTGCATCTGCCTGCGAGGCAAGGAACCAACAGTCTGCATACAAATTAGTCAGATCTGTCAAACGGATGCACACGCAACACTCAAGTTCTGGAACACGACTGCAGTCCAGAAGTGGACGAACAATCAGAACTTTCTGCCAGAGTTTAAAGCTGGTGAATGCAAAGAAGAAGAAAACAATAGTAGCAGAAAACAATTAACAGTTTGACAGTGGTGCAAGGAAAGATTATGGAACTGTTTTTGCTGATTATATTAACCCATTATAAGGGCGGTTTTGAACAGGGTGAGGTCTACTGATGGGGGGCATTTAAGGCCGCATGACATGTTCAGGCGTCAAGAACTGTGTAATTAAGATTTTTAGTCGACAGGAGGGGGGGGGGGGGCGCATAACTTTACCAAGGATATCATCCCGGGTCTTCATCCAACATGACAGGCCAATGTTCAACTCAATCGGTTAGCCGCAACATGGCCAACGATAAGTTAAACTTAACGAGAGATAACGGTGTAAAAACATTATCGCCTGCACCACCCGTTGGCAGGGTTCTGTCACTGTTCAATCCTTATCCGGGTATTTCGTGTGGGGGGGGGGGGGAGGTGAAAGTGGGTGATCTTCTAGTTAGACTTAGCCTAGTACAGTGCAGACCTGATGAGAACTCACCGGGGACCCAAGAGATAGTTTCTTCTTATCAGAAATTCCTCTTATCTAAATAAGAGTTCAAGTAAGAAAAATTGCCACAACAGAAACTTCGCCACATCCGAGATCGTTTGGAGCAGTCTACACTGCAATAAAGGCGACTGGTATTATATGAGCTGAGTGCTTTTATCGTCCATGACTCTCAGGTTAGCACAAGATGATGTCTTCATACTTATCTTCTGACTGATAACAACGCTGTTCTACCCAATCTTAACCTGCGGGGTCTTTATCCATTTTTCTGCTGGGCATAAACCTGGTTTCTTTTCGATAATCCCCATCCATGATCCCATCACATGGGATCTTACATCTGTGATCCCATCACACGAGGTCATAATGACACACACCCATGTTATATACGTTACATCTTAACGATATTATGTAATCCTGCATCAATCTTTCTCATGACGGCTTTGAGATCTTTTTCTAACAGCTTCTTATTCCATACAAGTGGTTCTCAACCTTCTTAATGCAGCGACACTTTATAACAGTTCATCATGTTGTGGCGACCCCCCAACCATACAATTATTTTTCTAGCTACTTAATAACTTACACGAATATGTGTTTTCCGAAGGTATTTGGCGACATCTGTGAAAGGGTCGTTCGACCCATAAAAGGGTCACAACTCACAGGCTGAGACCCGCTGTACAACACTGACAACTCACTAAATCAGGAATGACAAGAATGGATGAGGGGTATATATAATAAAGATAAAGAGGCGTTAGTTCATCTGCCGTGATGAGTTGGCCAAATATCTTATACAAACCATCATCACCACCATTATATGCCGTGCCGGCAAGCGTAGGCCGTCGTGATTCGCCATCTATTACGATCACCAGAATCTCGGATCATTCAATGTTTTTGTCTCGCCCCATGCATTTGGCAAGGCCATCCAGGTATTTATCTCTATTCCTTCATCTTGCTCTCTTTCCATCAATCTTGCCAGTTGTTATCAAAATCTCGAGTTGATTTCTTCTCACAAACATGTCCAAAAAACTAACTTTGACTGTCTGTCTAACTGTTCTAATACATATAGGACTTTCATGTGTCTCGATGAGGACTGCTTCATTTGATTTTCTATCCTTCCATGATATTCTTTGCAGTCTTCTCAAAAACCACATTTTTGCTGAGATTAAATATTTTCCAGCTGTTTTACTTACTGACCATATTTCACATGCGCATAACACAGGCTATACGTTGCACTTTTACTCTTTTTTTTTCTCACTGCAATTGACGCGTCTTGTTAGTGGGAATCTTGTGCATCTTACTAGAGACAACTTTTGCCATGGCGATTTCATACAGTACCAGTCCGTCCCAAGATCACACTCACAAACCCAGTTCATCATAGTTTCAAGTAAGCGTGAGAAAACAACCTATGACATTCCTTGTCCGTTTTCACGTTTGTTTGACCCTGAACTACATATCTACACACGTGCTGCTAAATCTCTGATCTGAGAAAATCGCGTCTGAACTACCGATATCTCCCTAAACATTATGTAGTTGTGTGAAAGTACAACTGCATTTTAACTTATTTTGAGTAAGAATTCACAAGTTTGCCTTTGGCATATTGTACAATGATAAAACGGCTCTTCGAATGCAGTTAGGAGACACACACAAAAAAACACGTTAGTGACTTCTGCGTAGTGCCAACCAGACACATAAGTTTGATATAACAGTAACACCCCCTGTGGGTTCCGCGCCCCATTGTATGGACAAATAAAAGCCCCACTGCCACCCTTATAAGTATGTCGTAAGAGTATACTAATTAGGGGTTTCCTTCGAAGTCAGAGTGCTTCTGCTTGAGAAGGCAATAAACTATCAGTCTGAAAACAAGTGTGCCAGATCGGTAACATGGACGAACAACCAGAACTTTCTGCCGCAGTTTACAGTCGTGCAAAGCGAAGAAGAAGAAAAAGAAGAAGAAGAAGAAGAAGAAGAAGAAGAAGAAGAAGAAGAAGAAGAAGAAGAAGAAGAAGAAAGAAGAAGAAGAAGAAGAAGAAGATGATGATGATGATGATGATGATGATAAAGATGTAACTGTTACAAAGCAATACGAACACGTCCCCTTGTCTGCTTTCAGGTCTGTGTGACCATGTATTACAATGACACATCAATACCACTGAAGGAATGTGTGGACGCATCGACGACCAGCTGGCACATCCCAGTTTCTATTGGTTCCAGCATTGGCGCGGTGCTGGCTCTGTCCATCATCGTGTTCATCATCCTGCTGGCCCGCTGCCCAGGCTTGGCCAGGCAGCCCCGGACTGCGGCAGCCGAGTCCAGCAAATACGACTCCATGTCCTCTCACTTCCAGACGACAGGTGCGAGGTGAGTGACACAACGACCTACTGCCACGATCGGGACGACGACGTGTTCTCTCAACACAGTGAAGGAGACAGTCTCACCGATTCCAAGACGCTTTCCCGACAAAACCACCATCATCACTATCACAACCACAACCATTATTCACCGCAGAGCCTGGCTGAAAGACTGTATACAGGCACACGAATGGTAAATGGGGTGACTAAACCCATGCCATTAGGCAGCGTCGGGCGAACTCTCTCTCTCACAGACAGGCGTCACCACCCCAACAACGCGCACAAATCACGACAAGCCAGGCTGGCGCATCTGCACGCCAACTTTCACTCAATTCAGTCAGAACCAGGCAGCACCAAGTCACGACCATCTCCTCGCATTAGCATCACCGATCTCCCTGTTTCTTCCGTCAGTGCAGACTTCCCGTCAGGACGTAAAACCCATAGCAGTGCGTCCTCAACGAATGTCAATAACAACAGAGTAACGGTTTCACGTACATCCTGCTACAGGCCAACGGGGTTCAGGGAAAACCCTCGACTGATGTACAGAATAGAGTCTGCAAATTCCACTTCAGAACCTTCAATGGACGTGAAAAATAATGAACCAAAACGGAAGCCACCAGCGCTAAAGAACTTGCCAAAGACTTTACATATGAGTATTGATGGCGACACGCTGGTGTAAAGACTGGCATCCCCACAGTGCGGGCCAACTGCTTCTTCTTTTGTGACATGCAGTCGCATATATTTCATACATTTTTTTTCCTATTGTATATAAGTATGTGCTTGTATATAAATAATCCCATCGGTAGAAATTTAGACCATTCGCAATCCATTGTCTAGTTTGTTATGTGCGAAATTATTCTTTCAAAAATAAAACTGCTTCACTGGAGAAAGTTGTCACTGTTTGAGCAAACCAAGCTTTCATTAAAATGGTGTTCAGTGAACTCATCAAGTGTTTTTTTAAAGAAGGTGTTGCGAGAGACTGTGACTACATGTTAACATCTCGTTTATGTTCTACTTTAATACTGCTTATTTTTGCTGATGCAACATGCTTCTCGGCGTCTGTGGCTTGGGCGTTGCGAACGCGCTTCGTTCGGTCGGGGTGCCGAGTTCGATCCCAGCTGCAGTCGATTTGAAATAATAAGAAGACTAGGGCACACAATTCATTAAAGTGCAACAAATGAAACAGATGTTAGTCTCACGAGAATACAAAAAGGATGTATGTATGTGGCTTCTTATTCCACTTCTTCGCGTCCACCGGCAGTATACTGCAGAGGAAAGTTCTTCTACTTCAGGACATGTCTGGCTCTGTCTAGAACCTGAGTTTTGAGTGTACATCTTTTTTACATACCTGGATTATTTTTATCCAGACTAACTCCTCGTCTCTCAGGCAGATGCACTACGACTTCCAAGTAGTAAACTTTTACGAAATGCTTTTTGGAACGAAAGGGAAGGGGTGGTGCAAGAGGACCATTCGCTTTTTTTCCTCTCTCTCACACAAATATTTGTTTTTCTCATTCAACGGGACACCGGAACCCATAAGAAGATGTGTGTGACAAAAGTTCCTGTGAAAACTGAAAACAAAGGGAGTCATCTGCAGACGGGTTATGACCCAGCAAATGGGTCATAACCCATCCAGCAGTATGTCGCAAGGGTGCCGGGGTAGTGAAGCGGCTCGACGGTCGCCTTCTCTGAACAGAAGATTTAGGTTTGAATCCACATCGATTCAGAATTTTTTTTTTTTTTCAAAATGGCCTAAGCCACCTTGATAAGCCAGCCTAAAATGGGTACCAGGTAAAGTTCCTGGAAAGTAAAGGCCGCCAAAGTGATGCTTTTCAGATCAGCCATCAAGTGCCGATTGGTCTATAAAAAGCATTTGCCCGATTCACTACTGCCACGAAAAAGGTATGATTTTATACTTAGCACCTGGCAAACACAATCTGTCAGTCCTAAACATACGCCTAAATTCACCTAAACTGGCAGTATGTGATATTCTTCGCCACCAATTTCCTCTCCTCTCAAACCGTGGCTGAAGTTTCTACGTCTAAGGGATCCTGGAGAAGCCAGAAACGGATCAAGGAGGTCAACAGGGATGGATTCCAGGCATCCCTTCACCGACAGAAGCTGGAACCTAGCAGCTCAGGCACGTTGGGCTTCTCCACCCCTTTCAAAAAAAAAAAAATTGGAGAGAAGAGTCCCCATCCCCTAGAACAGCGGTTCTCAACCCTTTGTGGGTCAAACGACCCTTTGTGGGTCGAAACGACCCTTTCACGGGCTGACCAAAGACCATCGTACAACACAAATGCATTGCATTTTTGAAGTAGCAACAAAAATAAGTGTATGCTTGGGGGTCGCCACAACCAAACGAACTGTATTAAAGAGTCGAGGCATTAGGAAAGTTGAGAGCTACTGCCCTATAATATTTGCATCAGCATTGTGCTGTACCACAAAAACTGCTGAGCCACAAGAGGTATTGAACCACAAGAGATGCTGAACCACAAGAGGTTCTGAACTACTGAACCACAAGAGCTACTGAACCACAAGACCTACTGAACCACAAGACCTACTGAACCACAAGAGATGTTGAATCACAAAAGGTGCTGAACCACAAGAACTACTGAACCACAAGAAGTGTTAAATCACAAAAGGTGCTGAACCACAAGAACTACTGAACCACAAGAGGTGCTGAACCACAAAAGGGGCTGAACCACAAGAGATGCTGAACCACAAGAACTGCTGAACCACAAGAACTGCTGAGCCACAAGAACTGCTGAGCCACAAGAACTGCTGAGCCACAAGAACTGCTGAACCACAAGAACTGCTGAGCCACAAGAATTGCTGAAAAACAAGAACTGCTAAGCCACAAGAACTGCTCAGCCACAAGAACTGCTGAACCACAAGAGCTGCTGAGCCACAAGAGGTGCTGAGCCACAAGAACTGCTGAACCACAAGAACTGCTGAGCCACAAGAGGTGCTGAACCACAAGAAATGCTGAGCCATAAGAGGTGCTGAACCACAAGATATACTGAACCACAAGAACTGCTGAGCCACAAGAGGTTCTGAACCACAAGAAAACTACAAGAGAAACACCTGCTGAAACAAGAGATACCACAAGATATACTGAACCACAAGAACTGCTGAGCCACAAGAGGTTCTGAACCACAAGAGATGCTGAGCCACAAGAGATACTGAACCACAAGAGATACTGAACCACAAGAGATGCTGAACCACAAGGGCTACTGAACCACTAGAGGTGCTGAACCACAAGAGATACTGAACCACAAGAGATGCTGAACCACAAGAGATACTGAACCACAAGAGGTGCTGAACCACAAGACATACTGAACCACAAGAAATACTGAACCACAAGAGATACTGAACCACAAGAGATGCTGAACCACAAGAACTACTGAACCACAAGAACTACTGAACCACAAGAGGTGCTGAACCACAAGAGATGCTGAACCACAAGAACTACTGAACCACAAGAACTACTGAACCACAAGAGATGCTGAACCACAAGAACTACTGAACCACAAGAGATGCTCAACCACAAGAACTACTGAACCACAAGAGATGCTGAACCACAAGGGCTACTGAACCACTAGAGGTGCTGAACCACAAGAGAATGCTGAACCACAAGAGATCTGAAACCACAAGAAGATGCTGAACCACAAGAAATGCTGAACCACAAGAGATGCTCAACCACAAGAACTACTGAACCACAAGAGATGCTGAACCACAAGAACTACTGAACCACAAGAGATGCTCAACCACAAGAACTACTGAACCACAAGAGATGCTCAACCACAAGAACTACTGAACCACAAGAGATGCTGAACCACAAGAACTACTGAACCACAAGAGATGCTGAACCACAAGAGATGCTGAACCACAAGAACTACTGAACCACAAGAGATGCTCAACCACAAGAGATGCTCAACCACAAGAACTACTGAACCACAAGAGATGCTGAACCACAAGAACTACTGAACCACAAGATAGCTCAACACAAGAACTACTGACCACAGAAACCACAAGAAACTACTGAACCACAAGAGATGCTGAACCACAAGAACTACTGAACCACAAGAGATGCTCATAGATACAAGAACATACTGACCACAAGAAACTACTGAACCACAAGAGATGCTAACCACAAGATGAACCACAAGAGATGCAACCACAAGAACTACTGAACCACAAGAGATGCTGACTACTGAAGCACAAGAGGATGCTGAACCACAAGAACTACTGAACCACAAGAAACTACTGAACCACAAGTGATAGGATGCTGAAACATAGAAACACACAAGATGAGATGCTGAACCATAGACCCACAAGAGATGCTCAGATAGACAGATACCACAAGATGAACAAAGTGGATGCTGAACCACAGAGATGCTGAACCATAAGAGACATGCTCAACCACAAGAACTAGGAACCACAAGGACATGCTCTACCACAAGAATAGACCACAAGATGTGCTCAAACCACAAGAACTACTGAACACAGGATGCAACCATAGAAACCATGCCTCATGATACTTATTTGATCTCTCGATAGTCTAGAGAAATAAGATACCACTGGAGACTGATAGGACAAGATTTCTTTGGCCAGAGTTCTTCCCAAAAGGCGGTAGAGTCTGCATAGATACATGAATGCGTACATAAAAATTCAGAGCCCTAGATAAGACCATAGATAAGGACGTAGACAGATGGCAGATAGACAGACGGTGAGTGTGACAGATAGAGTAGAGGAGACAGAGGAGGACAGACAGACAGACAGACAGACAGACAGACAGACAGACAGACAGACAGACAGACAGACAGACAGACAGACAGACAGACAGACAGACAGACAGACAGACAGACAGACAGGAGAGACAGACAGACAGACAGACAGACAGACAGACAGACAGACAGACAGACAGATAGACAGACAGACAGACAGACAGACAGACAGACAGACAGACAGACAGACAGACAGACAGACAGACAGACAGACAGACAGACAGACAGACAGACAGACAGACAGACAGACAGACAGACAGACAGACAGACAGACAGACAGACAGACAGACAGACAGACAGACAGACAGACAGACAGACAGACAGACAGACAGACAGACAGACAGACAGACAGACAGACAGACAGACAGACAGACAGACAGACAGACAGACAGACAGACAGACAGACAGACAGACAGACAGACAGACAGACAGACAGACAGATAGATAGATAGATAGATAGATAGATAGATAGATAGATAGATAGATAGATAGATAGATAGATAGATAGATAGATAGATAGATAGATAGATAGATAGATAGATAGATAGATAGATAGATAGATAGATAGATAGATAGATAGATAGATAGACGGACGGACATACACACACATACACAATACAAACTGATCTACTATCTATCTGTGTAAATATCTCTATCTACGCAGCTTGAGAAAACACACGGTGCTCCCAAAAACACATCCAGCCTGACAATCATCACCCCACAAAAACCCCTAAGTAAACTTTGACTGACTGACTGACTTTCTACCCCACCAGGACATCACACAAGCGATAAACACCCGATGACACAAAGTGCCACCATGCGGATGAGGATCACCGTGGAGAGGTCCTAGAAACCGCGTTCAGACATCTGGCCATATTTATGGCCTGCC